CGACCACAGACCACACACACACACACCACTGCGACCACAGACCACACACACACACACCCCATTGCGACCACAGACCACACACACACACACACACACACACACACACCCCACTGCGACCACAGACGGCAGGAAGGTTTGTGTACTGGGTCCTCCTCCCCGCCCCCGTGTTCATCAGCAACGGAACAAAACAGTTTTATTAACTTGAAAACTTACCTGTTTAGATGAAAAAATATCACAGATGATTGTCCAAGGTTTCACACCCCTAGAAAAAGTGGGTTCCACACACCCTCAGATTCTCCCACCCACCGCAGTGCAACGGACGTTTAGGGAGACGCTGGCTTCCCGGTCTCCTTTCCTGGTGAGAGCGAAGGCTGCTCTTGCAGAGAACTCATCAGACAGTCAGAGCGCAGAGCCCTGCAGGGGACGGGGGGTCTGTGTCCCCCCGTCGGGAGTCATTGGCTGCCCTAGCGCGAACCCGCACTGGCTGCGTGTGGCTCCCTCTTGGAGGTGGGCTTCATCAGGAGCGGGGCCGGGGACCTGGGGGTTGTTTGTTGGGAAAGCAGACGCCACTGCTTCACTTGGGAGGGACGTGACCTGGACAGGTTTACCTCAGCCAGACTCAGCGTGTGGAAGGGCGTGTTCCATTGTGTGTTCCTTCTCAAAGGAGCCCAGGTCGTTAGTGTGCTACATTTTCTAATGAAATCTTGAAGCTCTGAAGCGAGATGCTGGTGAAGCTCTTCTGCTGGGCCTGGCTTTGTTACCGTCACATTCTCCTCCTGGCAGTGCTTCTGAACCTGCAGCGAATTCTTCCCACATCAAATCACCTTTAGCGGACATCACTGATCAAAGCAGCAAATCAGCAGTTTGTCTGTTAAAATTTGTTTAAAGGATGGAAACCTTTGTTTCGTTTTTACAAAAGCAGTGTTAAAATAGAGGGCGTTAGCTGCAACACGCCCCCCAAGAGCCGTCCCGTGGCCCAGTGTCCCCCCCCGGGTGTGGCACCATGGTGCGGTCCTGGCTGCTGGGCACTGAGACGTAGCCCACCCTCCTCCATGCACAGTTTGGCGTTCCCTTGCCTGCGAGGCCACCTGCTGAACCTGTCCTGGAGACTGGCCTGCAGGAACACTGTGGGGGTCAGAGGAGGTGCTGGTGGCTGGGACATGGCTGTCTCGGGGACGCCGGGCGGCGGATGTGTAGGATGACAGCCCCTGCATTCCGGGAGCACATGGTCTAGTCAAAGAACAGATACACACGTGGTCATTCCACGGGAGCCTGTGGGTCAGTGCTGCCTGGCGTTCTCTGAGCTCCTGAGAGCCGTGTCTATACCCGTGTGGGAGCGGGAAGAGGGTCAGCAGAGGCTTTTGTGGAGGGGCAGCTCCTGCCTGGTTATGGAGGGTGAATCGTACGTCACCTGGGAGGGGCTGGATAAGCAGGAGGACCGTGTGCAGAGCTGTAGGCATGGGGAAGATGGAGGGGCTCGGGGTCGCCCTCCTTCTGAGCGTCTGGAGGCTCAGGCCTGGGGAAGATGGAGGGGCTCGGGGTCGCCCTCCTTCTGAGTGTCTGGAGGCTCAGGCCTGGGGAAGATGGAGGTACTCGGGGTCGCCCTCCTTCCGAGTGGCCGGAGTCTCAGGCCTGGGGAAGATGGAGGGGCTCGGGGTCGCCCTCCTTCCGAGTGGCTGGAGGCTCAGGTGTGGAGAAGATGGAGGAGCTTGGGGCGACTCTCCTTGCTTGTGGCCGCAGGGGCAGTGGGGTGAGGCTGGAGGCAGGAGCTGTGAGTGCCAGGCTCCAGCTGTTGAGAATGTGCCTTCAGCAAGTACTCTATTCTTCCAAATCTAACAGGATTCAATCTTGCAGCAAGATTCCCTGGTGTCTATCCCACACTGGGAACCGGGTCAGGTACTTAAGATGCTTCCCGCCCACAGGGGGTTTGCATTCTAGCCAGAGAAGCAGCCAACAGCAGTTGGTAATGTAAGCTGTCAGGGTGATGTCTGGAGGGAGGAAGGCTAGTGAGGAGTCAGAGAAAGACATCGTCACTCACGTGTGGCCAGGAGGCCTCCCCGAGCAGGCTGCACTGGAGCTCAGACTCCGGGGGTGCGCCGACTCTGAGTGGGGGTGTGCCGACTCTGAATGGGGGTGCTGACTCCAGGGGTGTGCCAACTCCTGGGGTACACCATCTCTGAGTGTGGGTGCCGACTCCAGGGACATGCCGTCTCTGAGTGGGGGTGCCAAGTCTGAGTGGGGGTGCTGACTACAGGGGTGCGCCATCTCTGAGTGGGGGTGCCGACTCCAGGGGCGTGCCATCTCTGAGTGGGGGTGCTGACTACAGCGGTGCGCCGTCTCTGAGTAGGGGTGCCGACTCCAGGGGTGCGCTGTCTCTGGGGGTGCTGACTTCAGGGGTACGCCGACTCTGAGTGGGGGGGTGCTGACTGCAGGGGCGTGCTGACTTGGGAGGCATGCTGACGTGGGGTGCTGACTCCAAGGGTGCGCCTCTGTCCTCATCACAGAGTCTGCCACGTCACAGCTGGTTTTCTGTCCTGTTGACCAAGCACCACGGGCGGGCACAGTGCTCTGCCGGGGACATGGGCATGGGTGCAAGCACCAGGGAGCCTGGTGGGCATGGAGCAGCCTCTCCTCAGGGCCCGTCCTGAGCCCGCTGTGGGGCTGGGGTTGGGGAGCAGGCCTGGCTGAGCAGCTCCCGGCAGCCTCCAGGGCAGGAGAGAGGAGGGTGCTGTTGCTGCATTTCGGTAAAGCAAGGTGTTCCGGGTGTCAGAAAGGTTACATCATCCTGCTTTTTCACAGTAAAAGTGTCCTCTCCTGTGTGGGGTGATACAGCCTGGCAGGTTTTGTTTGTTGACTTGTTTAGTGAGCTTACTTGACAGAATTTAAAAGTCAGCAAATCCAGATCAGCTCCCCAAATAAAAGTCAGCAAATCCAGATCAGCTCCCCAAATAAAAGTCAGCAAATCCAGATCAGATCCCCAAATTATTTTGAGCTTCAACTTGTCTGTGAAGCACACAGCCTGCAGTCAGCAGCCCCCCTCCCTCGTCAAGAAGGGCCCGGGTAGGGGTGCAGGGCTTTAGCCCCAGTATCACCCCCGCCTCTGCTGAGGCCGGGCTGGGCAGGAGCCGCACGTGAGGACGGGCCCGGCGGGGCCTGGATCAGGGCCCACTCCCTCTGTCGTGGCCTCAGGAGGAAATAGGGACTCTTCAGATACTATTTTTTTATTTTGCATTTTATTTGTTTTATTTTATTTTGAAACAGAGTCTCCGTTACCCAGGTTGGAAATACAGTAGCACAGTCTCAGCTCACTGCAACCTCTGCCCTCAGGGCTCAAGCAATCCTCCCACCTCAGCCTCCTGAGTAGCTGGGACCACAGGCACGTGCCACCATGCTGGGCTAATTTTTGTATTTTTTGTAGAGATGGGTTCTCACTGTGTTGCCCAGGCTGGTCTCAAACTCCTGGGCTCAAGTGATCCACTCTGTAATCCCAGGCCTTAGTCTCCCAAGATGCTTCCGGGACACTGCTCGGGCCTGCCGTGGTCACAGGAGCTGAGTTTTACGATCCTGAGCACTGGTGACAAAACACATACTAGCCAGTGTTATGTTGTTGGAAACGTGGAGTGGGTGGCCTCAGAGCAGGTGGGCAAGGTGAAGAGGCGAGGTGGGTGGGCGGTCCATGGTGAGTCCAGCTGGGTCACCACCCTGAGTCCTGGTGACATTCATGGTTAGAAACTGACCTTCATGCTGCAGACGATGCTCCTGAAGGGGGTAGGGCTGCACTCAGCCAGAACACACTCGTCAGGCACGTGCCATGCGCCTCAGTGACCCCGCAGGGCACTCACCCTGGCTTTTCTCCCAAGAAGGTGTCCCTGGAGCCGGGGGAGGGGTGGATGTGAGGGTGGTGGGCCGAGGTGGCAGCTGAGCGGAGCCACTGTGGATGGGGCTGGGAGCATAGGGAGGCCTTGCCACAGAGAGGGGCCGGCAGGTGCAGGGGCCGTGCCCATCAGACGGCCTGGGCACAAGAGGCCACGAGAGTGGTGGGGCAGGTGGCCCAGCCAGTACAAGCCTTGTTGTTTGTGATCAGAGGCCTGGAGGGGGTTTGGGATGGGACCTCACCTTTGGCTGCCCAGGTGAGAGGGGCCGCTTGCCCAACTGCAGGGCCGGTGTAGGAGTAGCCTAGGCTTTGAACGCAGAGCTCACAGCACTTGCTCACAGGTAGAGGGGTACGAGAAAAGAGGAGGACAGGGGATCCCTGAGAGACAGAAGAGAGGACTTGTCCCTCACCCAAGGGGCCAGTCGTGAAGGAGCAGGTTCTAGGAGCACACAATGACTCTGAAGACTGGGAGCCTAGCGGAAGGGCTGAGCTGACAGGTGAGTGTGAGTCCGGCAAACTGCTCAGCTGCAGCCACGGAGCAGGAGGACAGACAATGGCTTTGACACGCGGTCTGTCAGAGGACCTGTGAAACCTGGCCAGCCCCTGGCCACTAATGTGGCCCCCCCATCTGTATGCCACTGGGGAACCCCAAGGGAAAGAGGGTCACATGACAACACCAGCCAAAATCTTCTTGCAAAAGCTGAGAGAGAGGGGACTCCCACACCGTGGCTGAGCACCTCTGCCAGACCCAGACCCTCTGATGAGTTCTGCATGAATATCACAAAGAAGGCCGGTGTGTGTGTCCTGCTGTCCGAGCCCAGCTCCATTCAGGAAGGGCAGGAAGGGTCACATGCAAGGGAGAGCTCTTTGCTGTGTGCCAGGCAGCAGCCTCCGAGCGAGGCCCCGTATGCAGCGGGATGTGCAGCCTCCGAGCGAGGCACCGTATGCGGCGGGTCGAGTGCTCTCCAGACATTTCCCTGGAATAATGGTCGTGGCCCCTGTTTACCTCCCCTGAATTGAAGGCCCACCACCTCGGGGCATGTTAATCCATTCCAGGGCCCAGCACTGGCTTTTCTCACCTGATACCAGAAGGAAAGGGAAAAAAAATCCGTGGTTTTTGAAGACAGATGCAGCCTTGATCCTCCCTGGGAGGGGTCCAGTGGGCACTCGCTCCGTCGGAGGCCCCATCTCTGCAGCGCCTCACTCTCCCCTTGGACAGGGAAGACAGCAGGGGGTCTGTGGCTTGCTCCGGGAGCCTTGAACAGCGACTTAGGCCATTGGAGATGAGTACTGGAACTGGGTGTTGGCCATGGCCGTGAAGATGCATATTGCGCCGTGACCTTGGTGCCCAGTGGGGTGGGAGGGTTGGGTGATGCCAGGGCTCCCACCTGAGCACTGAGAGACTTGCAGTTCCGTGAGCACACATGAAGACGGCGCTGCGGGCTGAATGGAAAGTAAACGGTGCCCGCAGTTCACAGGGCAGGGAGAGTTTGGGGTGCAGGGGAAGAGCCGGCAGCTGGACAGCCAGCCTGGAGCCAGGAGAGAGAGGGGCCCGCATCAGGGGAACCCCAAAGCATGATAGGAGGAAGCCCAGGCCACGTAGGCTGGGACAGGAGAATGCGTGGATGGAGAGCGTGCGGGTGGAGAGTGGGGGCGGCTGCCGAGAAGACCCTGGTCCCTGGAGAGCGCCCGTCCAGAGCCTGGCTTGTCCAGCTGCTGCAGAGGCAGGGGCATCACGCAACCAGCAAGGGGGCCTCTCACAGCGCTTGGCTTTGTGCTAAGAATCCATCTTTACTCTTAAAAAAAAAAAAAAAAAAAGGCAGAGAAAGTTGTTGTAGGGAAGAAAGCATTCCTTCCATTTTTTAAACCTACATCACCCTCACGTTCCCCAGCGACTTCTAGGATCTCCAGCGGTTCATGTCGCAGCACTAAACTTTCCTGAAAGGGGGGCAAATTGTGCCTGTAGCCGTGGACCAAGGCATTTGGACCTAAACTTGATTAGTTTAGGTTTTGGTTCTACGACTTTCCCGTTCCCTCTCGGGGACTAGAAACGTGTACCCATGAAAGTTTTGCGTGTGTTGAAAAGCACAGGCTTCGGCTTGTCAGCCATGCTCGGCCGGGGTGTCCAGATTCAGAAGGGCCGCCAGCCGTCCGGGGTGATCTCAAGCTAGAGCGGCGTTTTCAGCTGGGGTCACAGTGGTGACCGGAAGCGAGAGTCTGGATGGCTCCTCCGAGGCCTCCTCCCTTCCCCCTCCGGAGTTCTGTGACCCACCGAATCCTCGTGAGACCCCCAGTGCGTCATGCACGTCTGACGGTGGTGAGGGTCCTGGCAGGTGTTCTGGGCACCCCCAGCGTCCGCCGTGAGCTGGTGGCCTGCCATCTCGACAGCACTCTGCTTATTCCAGGCTTCTGCTTTGACTGGTTCCTGTTTCTGATGCCGACTGCAGGGTTTTGTCTTGACCTTTCCTTTTTCTGTTGGTGACTCAAGTCACTGCTGCTCCACAGTCATTTTCCAGCCCCAGTGAGTGTCACTGTCCCTTCTCCCTCTCTGCAGGAGCTGGTGGTGGCTCTGAGTCATCTCGTGGTTCAGTACGAAAGCAACTTCTGCACCGTGGCCCTGCAGTTCATAGAAGAGGAAAAGAACTACCCTTTGCCTTCTCCAGCAACCACGGGTACGGCGGGTACAGCGGGTACGGCATCTTCTCCCGTGGACCGCCGCATGGCTCGAGTGGTGGTTCCTGTGCAGCCCACAGCCCAGGCTGAGAATGGCTGGCAGCCTGCTCGCTCTTGAAGAGTCTAAGCGCGGGTTTCTGAGATACCTGCTGCAGTGGTCCCTGGTTTTCTCATCTTTTTAGGCGCCTGCCAGACTTAAAAGGGCAGGAAAGAGGACCACACTGGTCCTCTTACATTTTTCCTTCCTTTTTACCATTTTTGGAAACTAAACTCACAGAAATCTTGAAGTATGACAAAACTTCTGCAGTTAGGCGCTTGCAGAAAAGCGCTGTGGCCGCCCCCCTGTGATGAGTAATGTCATCGCACGCTGGTGGCCTCATGGCTCAGTGAGGCACATCAGGAGCTCCCTTCTCACGTATGGTCTGGACTGGAGAGTGTCTCATCACTGCCAGCAGCCCCTCCTTCCACCACACAGCCCCTCTGCAGTGCAGGTGCTTGTCATCACGGGGCAGCATCCCTGCAGGCAGGACACAGGGAGGGCGGAGGGTGAGCCAGACTGAGTGTGGCCGGCCGTTGCTCTACTGCGGCTTCCTGGGGAGCGGCTCACAGCCCTCATCACCACGCATCTCGTGCGCACTTGGACAGGCTGAAGCCGCCAGCCTCTCCGGTCTTTGGTGATTTCATATCCACAGAGCGACAAGCGGTTGTCATTTCTCTAGTGCTGTCCCGCAGAGCCGCCGCTCATGTCTGAGTCTCCCTGAGCCGCACAGCTCCCATGGTGACATTCATCCCTGTGCAGGTAGCAGCTGCCGCCACTGCGTCTCAACTGCTGAGTGTCCCAAGACGCGCCGGCCTCCGCCCGGAAGCCCGTTGTAACTTGTCTTTCCCCTTCTTTCCCAGAGGGTGGGAGTTTGACCCCCGTGCGAGACAGCCCGTGCACCCCCCGACTCCGTTCTGTGAGCTCCTATGGAAATATCCGCGCTGTCGCCACAGCTAGGAGCCTCAACAAATCTTTGCAGAACCTGAGCTTGACAGAGGAATGTAAGATCCTGGAAACCGGGGGCTTGGACTGGGAGAGATAGGGTTGCCTTTTCTGAAACTTCATCTCAGCAAGCACCACTCTGCCCTGCCGCTTCCCTGCCTAAGTGTATGCCCTGAAGTCCCGTCTGCCAACTCCGTGGCAAGCCAGCTGTCCTCATCTAGAGTCCCCTTTGCAGACATGAGCATGGCCAGGAGGTGTAGGCCAGCCCCCAGAACAGCCGGCGGGCCCGTTACAAATGCGGGAGGGCGCTCCAGCGTGGTCACATCCAGACGGGGGCTCCTCAGAGGGATTCTCCCAGTAGCCTGTGGTCTGCGGGTGGGGAGCCTGGCCCCAGGGAGATGAGTTAGGGCCTGTGCCTGTGTGTGTGTGCTCTGGGGTGTGTGTGTGTGCCTGTGTGTGCGCGACAGGGTGTGTGTGCGCGCCAGGGTGTGTGTGCCTGTGTGTGCGCACCAGGGTGTGTGCGCACGAGGGTGTGTGTGTGCGCCTGGGTGTGTGTGTGTGTGCCTGTGTGTGCACACCAGGGTGTGTGTGTGCCTGGGTGTGTGCCAGGGTGTGTGTGTGCCTGGGTGTGCACCAGGGTGTGTGTGCGCGCCTGTATGTGTGCGCCAGGGTGTGTGTGCCTGGGTGTGCGCGCCAGGGTGTGTGTGCCAGGGTGTGTGTGCCAGGGTGTGTGTGCCTGTGTGTTCACGCCAGGGTGTGTGCACACCAGGGTGTGTGTGCCTGGGTGTGTGTGTGTGTGCCTGTGTGTGCGCACCAGGGTGTGTGTGTGCCTGGGTGTGTGCCAGGGTGTGTGTGTGCCTGGGTGTGCACCAGGTTGTATGTGTGCACCTGTATGTGTGCGCCAGGGTGTGTGTGCCTGGGTGTGTGTGCCTGTGTGTGCGCGCCAGTGTGTGTGTGTGTGCCTGTGTGCGCGCGCCAGGGGGTGTGTGTGTGTGTGCCTGGGTGTGCGCACCAGGGTGTGTGTGCGCACCCGGGTGTGTGTGTGTGTGTGCTTGCCTGTGTGTGCACGCCAGCGTGTGTGTGTACCTGTGTGGGTACGCCCGGGTGTGTGTGTGTGTGTGCGCGCGCCAGTGTGTATGTGTGCGCCTGTGTGTGCGCGCCAGGGCGTGTGTGCGTCTGGGTGTGTGCGCCAGGGCGTGTGTGCGCCTGGGTGTGTGTGTGCCTGAGTGTGTGTGTGTCTGCATGTACTGAGCTTTATTTAGAAGAAAATTCATATCTCAGTCACGCCATTAACCATAAGACCAAAAGGAGAGTCCCAGGAGCACCCCACTGACCCCACTATGTCTCGGCCAGCCGGCGGCGCCGTAGCGTTCTCCCCCGGCAACCTCAGCACCAGCAGCAGCGCCAGCAGCACCCTGGGCAGCCCGGAGAATGAGGAGCACATCCTGTCCTTCGAGACCATCGACAAGATGCGCCGCGCCAGCTCCTACTCCTCCCTCAACTCCCTCATCGGTGAGTCTGCGCCTTTCCGCTGCCGAGGGGCCCCGGGGCTCCTCCCCACACAGGGCAGCATGACCCTGTGTCCACGTCAGGTCGGCGGGTGTCGAAACTGTCCGTTCAAAGGCAAGAATGAAAGTCTGCTGGACTGTGCGGAAATGAGCACGTTTTGCTGGGGAAGCAGGAGGGTGGAAATCCCTGCTCGGATGGGTGCTGTTTTACGGGATGGTATTTTACAGGCTGCTCCGGGGCCGTCGGAGCTGGCCAGCTTGGCTGGGTGGGAGGGCTGCCAGAACCTTCCATCTTTCTTCTGTAGATGGATGAGAGTTCTTCATGGGTGCTGAACAACCCCCACAACCCCTCCCCCCGGTTATGCAGAATGATGGTTCTCAACCAGGGGTGGTTTTGCCCCCCAGGAACAACTAGGGCACAGTGGGGGTGCTCCTGGAATCAACAGGTGGGGCCAGGGAGCTTCTCACCTCCCCTCAGACCCAGGACAGGCCCTGCCCTGAGTGTCCGCAGTGAGAGGCAGAGGGCCTTGATGTTGGTCGGGACTGGAGGCTGGAGGCTGGAGGCTGTCGTCCCCACCCTGCCCACAGACCGAATGTCCCCTGCACTTTCCCTCCATCCCGGCAGCCTGACACAGCACTGCCTGGAAATTGAGATTCGATGGCAGGGTCACACTCGTCTCTTGCTCAGCCGTGAATGGCGTGTGCCTGGGTTCCACCGCCAGGACTGCTGATGCAAAGCGGGAGAAGCAGCACTGCCCCGTGCTTTCTTACTGCGTAGCTGTGTTCATCTTCACACTGCAGGTAACAGGTTTAGGGCTTAACCAGAGGAGCCTCCTCTCCTCTGGTTCTGACCATCCAGAGTGGCTCACACGCTTCACTTGAAATTTTTTCATATTAAGGAACATTTTAGCCATGTAAAAATTTACAGAGACTTATATAAGAATGCTGTGCGTGCGTGTGTGTGTGTGTGTGTTTCCAGCTTAAGGAATTACAAACAGAGGTAGAGCCCAGAGCCCGCTCCGGTCCCATCCCCTCTGGCGACGTGACACTTTCCCTCTCCGGCCGTGAGCCCCGGCACACGCATGGCACCTGCTCAGAGGCCTTGACCTCCTGTTACCGTCGCACGATGCGTGGCCCACAAAGGCCTTTTCTTTGGCTCTGACGTCGACGTGTGTCTCTGGTGGTCATCTAGGTTTTGTTATTTCACTGTCATGCTCTGCCAGGACTCCATTATCCATTCTCCTCCTGGTGGACAGGAAGGCAGGTTCTAGTTTCTTCTTCCTTTTTGTTCCTTTTTGTAATAAGCGAACTCAGAATTCAGCCTCTGCCACCTTGGAGCCCCACGTCCAGCACAGCCCTCCCTCACTGCACCCAGCTCTTCTGGGCCCTTGCCCACCCGGCCCCCAGCCCGGGCATCAGTGAGGGAGCTCTTCTCGGGCGTGTGGTGGCTGCTCCCCCCTTGTTCCCACCCCATCTGGCAGCACCTTTTGAGAAGCCTCCCCAGCCGCAGGCCCCCGCCGGGGGTCAGGCTTCTCTGGCTGCTCTCCGACTCTGCTCCCTTCTCCTGCTTTATTTTTCTCCTGTGGGCTGTGGATTGTGGACACACTGCACGTGGACCGTGGACACACTGTACGTGGACCGTGGACACACTATACAGGTAACTTGTTCATTTGGCCCTGCCCGTCTCTATCCCCTGGGGCTTGAGAGCCACACGTACGGGAACCTGGCGTTGTCAACCATTGTCTCCTCGCACCCTGTCCACAGCCAGTGCCTGGTACACAGTAGGTGCTCCGTACACCTAACGAGGCACGTGTGTGGTGAGTGCGTCAGCGTCGCCGCCTGGCCTCTGAGCAAAGCTGCCGTACATAGGGTGCCTGAGCCCTCAGCTTTTGTAGATGTTGCCCAGGCCTTCCTCAGGACCCGCCGTCTGGCCGCACCCTGCCCACGCCGGCCTTGCTGGCTTTGCCTGTGTGATAGACGCCCCTGGTGTCTTGTGTGGTATGAATTTGCACTTCCCTTGGTTGCAGTGAGGCCGGGCTCACGTGTCAGCCTTCCGTGTTCCCTCTCCTGTAAGCCACATGCCAGCTGCCTTACAGACTTGCCTTCTTTTAGTGGTTTGTAAGAGTCCGTGACGATTCCAGGTGCTGATTCCTGGCTGAATGCATCCATCGAAAACGCGTCTACTCTGACTTTACTTACGACGCCTCCGGCACCACGCAAGCTCAGTCTTTTAGTCTCTCTTTTTCTTTATACCTTGTGCCTTTCACGTCTTGGGTTTTTCCTTTTCTCAATGTCTTAAACATATTCTCCTATATTTTCTTCTGAAATTTAAAAGTGTTCTTTTTTTATGTTTAGGCCTTAAGTATATCCTCCTGAACCACATTTTGTCTCTGTGGTGAGGTAGGGATCCAGTTTTTATCTTTTCTTTGCGCCACTCCAGACCCTTCATCAGACAGCCCGTCCTCCCTGCAGTGCTTCTCCGCATCTCTCTGGCCTTCCGTCCTTAGGGTCTGAGTGGAGGCCCCATTCTCAGCAGCACTCATCCCACCCATGGCTGCGCAGACACACGCCACACGGCCACGCCCACGCCACACGGCCACGCCCACGCCACACGGCCTCCCACACACCACACAGCTACAGTGCCGTTGAGCCCGCTCCTCAGTTCATGTCTCCTCAGTTTGTTTCTCCTGAGAATTGTCTTGGCTGGTCTCAACCCTTAGCTCTCCTGTATACATTTTCCAGTCGTTTTCTGTGTCCACAATACTCTCATTTGAGTGTTGATTGAATGGCGTTGAATTGGTAGAATTCCCTGGAATACTGACGTTCGTGCATCCTGAGTCATCCTGCTCCTGAACAGGGCTTATATATCCGCTTACTTAAGTCTTCCTTATGTCTTTAAAACAGTTTATAACTTTCTGCATAAAGGTCACATCATTACACTACCTTTCAGTTTTTGTAATTCTAAGTAATATCTTTAAAACCTGTTACTGTCCAAAAAGAATGCCAGTGGACAAAGAATACCAGTGGATGAAGAATACCAGTGGGAAAGAATACCAGTGGGAAAGAATACCAGTGGGAAAGAATACCAGTGGATGAAGAATACCAGCAGATGAAGAATACCAGTGGATGAAGAATACCAGTGGATGAAGAATACCAGTGGGAAAGAATACCAGTAGATGAA